ACTTTTCTGTGTGAGGAAGAGAAAGGGAAGTGAAGCAGGGTGGGTTGCAGGAATCATTTGGGAAGCTACAAGCATCTGGAGCCCTGCCTTTTCTTGCCCACGTGCTTGAGGGGCAGCCACGGTGAGGACAACGGGCCTCTTGACTTTGCTGGGATTGTAACTCCCTATCTGTAGTTCGGAAGGGAGGCAGGAGAATTGGGGTGGAGGGGGAAGGCAGTGGTCAAATGGTGAGAAAAACTGTTCGCGGCGATTCATTATTTCTTTTTTCCTCCATGGAGCTGAAGGGGGCTTATTCTATGGAAGAAGCTTAGACAAGGCTCAAGCTTGTGCACTCCCCTCCCCTCCAATGCACCCTTGAGCAGCTGAGAAGCGTGGGCCTCCTTTTTCAGTTAACCACAATTTAGCATTCTGTCCAAACTTTGAAATGTAGTCAAACTTGATGATGGTTTACCAGAGTAAGGCAGCTCCAAAACCCAAGGTTTGAAATTGGTTTGTTTCATTAAATCATGTTTAAGACAAATAGCAGTTATACAAAACAACAAACTGCAGTTGCCAAGAATGGAAACAAAATCTGATTTCCTTGCTGCAGGAAGGGTGGGAGGGAGGAGAGGAGAGGAGAGGAGAGGGTAGGCTTAGGGTGCGCCTGGGCTCATTGCATAGTGATGAACTGTAGTTTATGGTTCTATCCAGATGAGTGCACAGGTTGCCCACCATCCAACCACAGGCCCTCCTTAACATCCTGGAAGGTTCCCTGAGATTGGTGCTGTGCAGAGGGAGGCAGTACGGGTGCTTGCCCTATGCTCAGCCTGAATGGGACACAAAGACAGTCCATAGCAATAACAATAAAAATATTAAATCATGCTTTTTCTCAATATATATATATATATACTTGCATAAAGGCAGACTAAATATCCACGTATCTGCCCAGTCGCAAGTGGCATCTCTATAGCACCTGTTCAAATGTTGAAAATGTTTCTTGGTCTTCAGTCTATTGCATTGCAGGAGGTGAACATTCATCCTTCCATTGTTAGCTATGAAAAGAGCTCAGGAAATCCATAAGACCAGGCCTTAATATCCAGGAAGCAGGTAGAAAATGCAGAAGGGCATGTACTTCAGTAAATGTTAAAGAATGTTCAAATACAGAATTTATCTGGATAATCACCCCCTCCCACAAAGAGGCAAATATCGGGCATTGGTAAAGCAGATGGTGAAAAGATGCATTAGTAGTGTTATACCTCCAGTAATTAGCTGACTTACAGAAAATCTCATGAAAGAGATGTTGTGAAGTCTAGTAGACATGGAACAAGAGTCTCACTGAATAAGGCATTGATACAATGGAGTGAGTTTAGTGTGAGAAAATGAATCAAAATGTAAGCGATGTGACATTATTACTCCAACTGTGAGAGAACTCCATCTCTTCTCATGTGTCAAGAACCTGATGCCATCCATTTGGAGACAGGATCCAGGCAGGAGGATGCCAAAACTGGCCAATATGGAAAATCTAATCCAAGTTAGATTTTCCTTTTGATTTAGGAAAAGTCAACAAGTAAATATGACAATATAAAGCAAAATCCTGGAAGCCAAAATCACCTGCTTTAACTGGAAGTTGCATTTTCAAGAATTCTTGTGGTGGGGAGGACTCCCCTCATATTTCTGAAACAATGGACTGAGGTTTTAAAAATGTTCACCAGGAATAGCTAGTGGATACCAGGTGTATTATGAACAGTTCAAACTAGGTTAATCTTCAGTGTGTTTCCCTTGTCCCATGGGCTCAGCTTCAAAGATGCCTATCTATTTATATTTCACAGGATCCCATTAACTGGCCTAGAGTGCCATCCGGTGCAGCTTCCCTCAGTCCTCCAAATTTGGAGCAGCACAGTCATTCAATGGAAAGCGGGAAGAGTATGGAGCCTCAGAGTGCAATCCTGAGGGCTCCCAACATCATCAGGGGCCAGGAGGGTCTTCAAGGTCCAAGCACCAAGCTCCTCTGATCTCCTCTGCCGGCTGCCTGTCCAACAGCAGAAACTTACCTTGCAGGGGGAAAGGGGGTGTGTTGGCAGAGTGGAGGAGGCTGGGGCCATCCGCCTATGGCAGTTCTTCTGGGAGCCCAGCCCCCTTCCATCCCCTTTCCCTGGCCCTTTAGCTGGATAGCCAGAAATGGCCATCTAGATAAAATGCATGGGGTGATGTGCAGGGCAGCAGAGAGTGCAAGCACCATGCCTTGTTCCAGCCACTGTGTGCACAGAAGCCTCCAGGTTCAAAGGCGTATGTCCATCTAGGCCGGGGCAATGGAGCTGCACCCCTAGATGGCCCTTTTGGCCATGCATTTCCTCTTCTTATGAGGAGGAAGGGTTGAGGCCAGGGATGCCGAGGGTGGGAATCCATCTCCGCTTGGCTTGGTTTCCTGGGCTCTTCCCTGCTTTCTGGCAGCCCCAGATGCAGCCTGGCTCCGAGAGTGCCAAGCGTTGGCGCGAATGCCCTCCAGGAACTAAGCCTGGCAAACAGTGTGCAAGGGGTGTCCTTCTCCTGCTCACTTGCACAACGGGGACTCAGGAAACAGTCTGAGAGTGCCTGATTAGCTCAGAGCCAAGCGTGGAGCAAGGCTTGGAATGCGCTTTCCCACCGACTACCAGAGGGAATCGCCAGTGACCCATGGGGTGGAGATGGCACCAGGAATTCCCAGTCTAGGACTCATCCAGACGTTCCTCCAAACACCACCTGAGTCCCTTCATATGTCATCTGCCATCCATATGGAGTCACAGATGATGTTCGAAGCTGGCACTTGATCGCTTCATCTGCACATCACAATGAGTTCATTGTGTGCTTTGGTCAACATCAACAAGGCTTTTGATTAATTGCATTGATTGGGATGACTTGGACTTGCATTAAACCAAATGCGCCTCCTGAACATCCCACATGCGCTTAACAAGGCTGAGGCGCATTACTGAACACCTACACACTTTCAATTTTTTTCCATTTTGGTGGGATGGATCAAACCAGATGTCAAGTTTTACTTTCCCCACTGGAGATTTCATGATGTGACTGGAAAAATGTCAAGAAGTTTGCCTCATTTGCACAGATAATTTATCCTGAATCTGGAAATAAGCTCTGAGGCTGTGATTTAATCTAAAATGCATTAACCGTTGAAAGCGTATTAGAGCATACTTACTGAAAATGGCTTGCATTCAGGCTTTCTTCATCAACATTAATTGAATTAAATTACCTGCAGTGAAATCTGAGCCTTTGAGAGAAGGGGAAGGAAAGAACCAGCAAACTTTAGAAGTGAGGCAAATTCGGTCTCGAATATTTATGCACATTTTCTCCTATGTTGCCGTGGGAGAATGTGGAGCAGGGTAATTCTGAAGCAGGTGAACCTCAGGGTACGGTCTGATTGTTATGGAGAAGAAGGAAATAGCGACCCAGGGAAATCACTGCTACATTGTGCAGAGAATGGCTGAGCATTGCCTTAGGACAGATGGCAAAAGAAGAGAAACACCGGTAGACAAAAGCAGGCATTCCAAGCAGAATTCCAATCTGCACATGGAGGCCGCAACTCGGTAATGAGAGGTGCAAGCTGAGCTGAACACAAAAGGTGTAGCAGAGCATGAACAGACAAAGGGCATAAACCGAAGAGAAGATCCTTGCAGCAAGAGGCCTCAGGCCATGTTGTATGATAGTTCAGGGATGTGTGGGGGGGGGGGGGGAAGCATGAGTAGGGTAATATCATGTAACCCAAATAAACCTTTAAAGAGAAGCATCAGGTTTTATTAGCCATTATTCACCAGGTACAAAGCTCACTTCAGGGATCATTGCCTGATAATATCCATGTACTACGAGATGGGATAGAAATCCGTTTCTATGGAATGGAGGTGTGCGGGAATCAAGGACTGAAAAGGGCAAGGAAGGATGCAGGTCAAGACTATACGAAGAATGTCCCCTAGAACTTTTACTTCTGAGCAGTCATGCCTAGGAGTGCATGACAAATGGTCTAAATGACCCTTCCCTAACTTGGTGGCCTTCAGAGGCATATGGACCACAACTCCCAGAATTCCCATGCAGCAGTGGCATTGACTGGGAATTCTGGGTGTTGCAGTCCAAACATGTCTGGAAGGCACAAGACTGGGGAAGGCTAAGCAGAAAACTCGGCTTGTGTGCTTCCCTTGTTCAGAATGATTCTCCGAATGGCTTTGCATCATGGATCAAGTGTGTGGTGTGGAGCTATCTTTCCAGCTTACCATGCTTTAGGTCTCATTATGCTTGAATTGGAGCTGAGGCTGCAGTTTCTGTGAAAGGCATGGGAGGAAACCAGACCAGTTTCCCCCCCTAGCCAGCTGTTGGCCAGCTCGGGACCAAACTGGGTGTGACATTATAGATACCTGAATGCAATTCCCTGTGTCTTTCCTTGTTGCTGTTTCTAAAAGTGGCCACCCGGATCACAGCTGCTCTGGGGTGGGAGTGGTGGTTTGTGCTGGGCAACTGGCACGGAAGGAAGGGCCAGGCTCTGCTGGCCCCAGTTCCATGGCAAGCCTCCACACTGGCCCCAGATTATGGCTGCTTTCTGTGCCCATGCCTGCCCACCCACTCACACGCATTCAGGCTTAGCTCCTGCTTGTAAGAACCTTGTTAAAATACGTGGGTACTTTTGCCTTTTGGCTCTGTCCCTTTGGCTCTCTGGCATCCCCCACCCCTCAGATGTGGCCCCCAAGAACACCTCCAAAATGGAATCTGAGCCAGGATGGAAAGTGTCTGACACTCCTGAAAATGAGGTTGGGACATGCATCTAGGCATCTCTGACTTCACACCCAGTTTGGCCCTTCCTTTCTCCACACGGTGGAAACTCGGTTATTTGCATTCAATAAAAATAGCCGTGCTCATGCACAAGAACAACAAGCCTGGCATTGATTGATTTCTTCCTGCAACATGTCAGACGAGATTTGCGATGTGTTGCTCTGTGTGTGTGTGTGTGTGTGTGGTCTCAAAGATGTTCTTCATATTTACAGGGATTAAGCATCTAAAAAAACAGAAGGACTCGGCATTCCCAGAGGAGGAGGAAGGAGTCAGTGAAAGAGATGAGAAGTGGAGCCCATGACTGGTGCCAAACATCTGCAGGAGAGCCTTTCTTGTCCATAACTGAACTGCTAAACTTTCTCTACTTAAACTGGAACTCTGTTGCTTGTGCCCCTGACCCCAAGCACCTTCGTGTCAGTACCCAAGAGAAGAAGACTTCACAGCGGAAGTCACGGCCACTTGCCACAGTGGGCTATGGTACCTTATAACTGAAGATAACCCTGTTTTTATAGCCATTTCCCTTTTCTTTTTTAATGACTTCAGATATCTAGTTTGCAAACATGTTAACTCCTTCATCTTTAGTGTTGCCAGAGCTTAAATTCTGAATGTGATCACTTGTACGATCTAAGATCAGTTGTAAATAATACAGATTTAAACGCTACAAAATAAAAACAACATACATTTAGGAAAAATGTGTTCTGCACAGTCTTTCCAGCTGGTGAGAAAGCCACACCAGTGAACTCTGTGGTGCAGACACTGGATACAAGCCGTGGCCCACGGGCAAATTCAAAGGGACACACGCTCTGTGGTTATTGCCCTGCTCCAGACACATCATCTGCGTGGAAAGCAGAGGAGGGATGTTTCCCATCCAAATGTATCCTTAATTTTTTTAGGACTCCCAGAGTTTCTCTACATGTAACATTGCAAACCATATGTCACTTCCTTAAATGATGATGGTGTTGTTCTAGTATAGCCTTCCCCAGTTTGGTGACCTCCAGATGCTTTGGTCTGCAACTTCTATTAGCCTCAGCAAGTGACCAATAGTTGGGCATGGTAGAAATTGTAGTCCAAAATGTCTGTAGGTTATTTAGAAGGGTTTGCATTGCAATGATATAATAGAAAGAAAGCAGTAACTCTGGCCACCTCATCGTGATTAAGCTCAAAAATGAATTGAAAATAAGCTAGAAAACACAGCACTAGCTCCACCTGTTACCTGAATCTGGATCCCACACTACCCTGTACCTGCCACCTGCCTTGTGGAAGGTGCAAGATGGAGACCACCCTCCCAGGTGCCATCTGACATCTTTCAGCTCATCTGTGTCAGGATCGTGGAAAGGAGCCCAACTCAATGCAATTGAATTGTAATTGACAAGCGGCTTTTCCAGATGATGGCCAATGGATGGGTTATGTTGTATTCCCAAAGTATCACTATCCAGGATCTAAAGCATCCTACCTAAGTAGACTTCAACAGCCTTGTTGGTGGCTGTTGCTTCTCCCTTTGTTTTGTTCCCTTCTTTCCATAGAAGGAAGAAGTTGTTACAAAAGACCTTCAGTGGACCACTATTTTGTCTCCACTTCTCTCAAAGGCTGGGTTCCCACCACATGCAAAGTCAGAGTACAGGTTAAGTGTGGGTTGTTCTTGAATCATGGATTGTTACTGAATTTTGGGTTGTTGTGTTGTGTGGATCCAGTGGTATTGAATAGACCACATTTTTTTAAATGTGGGAAGGGAACCCATCATCTGTTGTTGGGTGGCAAACTCCAGGTTGTTCATAGTTAATAAACCTTGGGTTAACAAACAATTCATGATTCAGTACTCTGGCTTGTCATATTGTGTGAACCAGGTCTCAGTCTCTTCCTTGACTGTGATAGTTGCCGTGAGCATCCTGGACCAGATCACCCCCCCACTTTTGGCAAGGAGAAGAGAGCAACCTGGTGCTCTGTGCTGGGACCTGAGGATGCCTGGCGTGCACAAACCCAAAGCCAGGGTGATGCTTTGCCACTCCTTACCTGCCATGCAAGTGAGAGCGGCAGTCGGCACCGAAAGACACGTGCACAGAATCGAACACCCTGCCATTCAGCACTGACACTTGCCCACCCTTCGTGCAGCCTTGGTTTCTGCCCTCTGTTTAAGAACAGTCACGGGGAAGGAGCGCCTCAGCCGATCAGAAGCATTCTCATGTCCAGAGTGCAGAAGAGTGCTGGAGTACGCAAAAATTCTGAGAACGGGGAACAGACAGTCCCCTGCCACAATGCTTACAACTAGGCGTCCCAAGAAAAAAGGGGGAAGAGGTCAGGAAGAAAAGGGAAAAGAAACCAGCTCAGATTCCTTTTGTCACACCACAAGGATGCTTGGACCAGCTGCCGACGTGCAGCCAAGTGGGACTGCATTTTTGTCATGACATCTGCGGAGAAAACGCCTCCCTCTCCTCTTCTTCTGCCCTGCATTTATATCCAGCCTTTTCTCTCTTGCAAGGAACCCAGGCCAACTGACACAGCCCCACTTTCTCCATTGTATCCCCACAACAGCCTTGTGAGGTAGGTCAGCCGGAGAGGCAGTAACTGGTTGAAAACCACCCAGTGAGCTGCATGGCCAAGCCGGGACTAGAACCTGGATCTGCTGAGTCCCAGTCCAACTTTCCAACCACTTAGCTATCTGTTCATCTGCAGTTGTCTGCACATCAGTTTGTGGTGACCTGGCACCTGTGGGGAATCCCACCTGAGGGCACACAGACTGGCTCAGCAGGGCCCAATGGTCCCTGGGAGGAAAACAAACCACAGCCCTCCAGCCCACAAGCACTCGCCGTCCCTTGGGAAGAGCTGAGTAAGAATCCCCGAGGTCCTTTGCAGCCCACCTGCGTCCTTTGGGAACATAGCTGGGTTGCAGGCTGCATTCAGCACAGCATGTCCCCCCAGGGGTTGCCACAGTGAGGCATGGCCAGAATCCCCCATTTCATCCCCAAAGTCCACAATCTGGGTTATGGTGGAAACAGGGTAAAAGATTTATGAAAAATTCAGGAAAAGCACAGAAAGAGGAAAAGGTTGTCATATGATTTGCTTTAGGGCAGTAGGGTCTTATCTTGGTAGCTTTGTTTTCAATTCCTTTCCTAATTATGCCCAACACAGAGACTGCCTTTCTCACAGCAGTGCGCCCTGACCCCGCACTTTCATTGAGCAGCCTGCCCTCACCCCAAGATCCTTTTCTTGGACAGTTGTTGCTCGCTCAGATCCCAACAGCCTCTTGCTTGAAGTTGGCATTTCTTTCCCCAATGTGCTTTACTTGGCACATGCAAATGTAGTTTGCATTCAAACTTGCTTAAACCACCAGACTTTTTTGTTTAGTCGCAAAGTCGTGTCCGACCCATTGCGACCCCATGAACAACATTCCTCCAGGCCTCCCTGTCCTCCACCATCCCCCGGAGTCCACTTAGTTTCACGCCGACTGCTTCAGTGACTCCATCTGGCCGCCTCAATTTCTGCCTACCCCTTCTTTTGCCATCTATTGTTCCCAGCATCAGGCTCTTCTCCAGGGAGTCCTTCCTTCTCATCAGGTGGCCAAGTATTTGAGTTTCATCTTCAGGATCTGGCCTTCTAAAGAGCAGTCAGGGTTGATCTCCTCTAGGACTGACCGGTTTGATCACCTTGCAGTCGAAGGGACTCGCAGGATTCTCCTCCAGCACCACAATTCGAAGGCCTCAATTCTTCGGTGCTCAGCCTTCCTTATGGTCCAGCTTTCACAGCCATACATTGCAACTGGGAAAACCATAGCTACTGGAATAAAATGGGGCTTGCTTCTGCACCTGCCAATTTCTGGTGGTCATCTGAGGGGGACCAGCTGCACAGGGAGCTGGGCCCTGGCCTCAAAGCCCAGTCCTCATTGCAGCACCGAGTCAGTCCCAGCACACTGATGGGAAGAGGGTGCTGCTGCCTCCCCTCTCCCTCAGTAGCAGCCAGCTGGACTTAGTCATTCTTTAGCATGAATCCCATATAGGCAGAGCCTTTCCAAACAACTGTTTGGTTCGGGCATGAAGGCCATGGTAGAGACTGAGAAAAGAGTTTTTCCCTGATTTCTGGAGAAAGTTAAGCACTCATTTAAGCCTTTCCTATGGAAATCATTGGACGGTAATGTTTTTAACTTGGGCAGAATTATGCTCTTTGTCCTTCTTTTTCTGCCCCCTTTAAAAAAATGAGTGAAATTTTGTCATTTTCTCAGCAGTGAACTAGCAGTATAAGTTTCCTACTAGACGTTCCCCAAGGCATAAACTCTGCTCTCCCGTGTCTCTCTAATCATGCTAATTATACTGCCATATGCTGTTCTCATATTTCTTTTCCAGTTCTAATGGGACCCTGATTCCATCCTTTGAATATGTCATTTGTTTATTGCATTTATCAAGGGTTTTGACATTATATGGGCCTTTTAATTGCTTTGTGAATCACTGGGCAGAATAACTATTAAAAACGTATACAGGGGTCAATAATGATAAATATAAACAATGTTTGAATGGTAGAGTGGGAGTTGTATCACTCTTTTACTAAACTTCTAATTTCTGGAAACATCAAGAGTTAGATTCAGATTATGTCATACTTAGAGCAGTTCTATTACTTTCAAAAGTTCTTCAGACAGTCGTGGCTCATTTATTTTCCATTCATTTCAATGGATCCAGGAAGTACAATTAAATTGAGATCCAGCCCCGTGCTTATTTGGCATTGCAGTTCTTATGTTCAGCGAATTCCCTGAGTACCAAGGGCAATCTAAGGATGGCAGCAAGCTTTCCTACATGAAGATCAGCTTGCTAGCTCAGGCGCCATTTGTGGAAAGACTGATGAGCATGAAGAAAGCGAACAGAGGAATAGGACAAACCAGAGGTCCAATGCAAGATTAAGATAGAAAGGCAAGATGCTACGTTTTTATCAGTTGGAATGAATGAATTACAGGTATACTTACTACACACACACACACACACACACACACACACACACACACACACGACTGCTCTCAGAGACCATGCCATAACCAACAATCAAGGACCGAGTGTGGATTGTTGCTGAGTCATGATTTCCGAACCCAGCCGAAGTAACAAACCAGGTTGAACAGCCCACAGTTCACAACCAAATACAAACCATGGGCTCTTGTTCCTGGTTAACCAACCATGGATTGCAAGCACCGCTGGTCTAGTCAGCATGATCACCCATGTTTCAGCAACTTCCCATGGCTTAATAACAGCCTACAGTCAATCTGTTCTCAGGGTTAGGGCTTTACTGTTTTATTGTTTTAATTCTACGTTGTGAGCCGTCCCGAGATGCTGAGGCATGTGG